TCCTCCTCCTCCTCCTCCTCCTCCTCCTCCTGATCCATCGCCTTCTCCCATCCTGCTCCTCCTCCTTTTCCTCCTCCTCGTTCTCCTCCCCCTCAGCATCATCATCCCGACCACCATCATCCTCATCATCAACACCACCAGCACCACCATTATCACGCACCACCACCACCACCATCATCACCAATGACCACGACCACCACCATCATCACCATCATCATCATCATCATCATCAGCAGCAGCATCATCATCAGCAGCAGCATCAGCATCATCAGCATCATCATCAACACCACCATCACCATTATCATCACGCACCACCACCACCACCATCATCACCAACCACCACGACCACCATCATCATGATCATCATCATCAGCAGCAGCATCATCACCATCATCAGCATCATCAGCATCATCATCAGCAGCAGCATCACCACTGCCATCATCGCAAACGTCAACAGCATCAGTATCAGAATCGTCAACATCATTAGCATCATCAGCATCACCATCATCCGCATCATCAGCATCATAAGCATCGTCCCCATCCTCAGTATCATCATCAGTATCAGCATCCTCATCATCGGCAGCATCTTCACCAGCATCGTCATCATCATCAGTATCATCAGTATCATCGTCAGTAACATCATCAGCAGCAGCATCAGCATGATCAGCATCGTCATCAGCATAATCATCATCAGCAGCAGCAACAGCATCATCACCCTTTACCTTCCTCCTGCTCGTCTTTTTCCTCCTCAGCCTCCTCCTCTATCTTCCCCATCATCCTCCGACTCCTCTTGCTTCGACTCATGACCCAGTGGGGAGCCGAACCCAGTTTGCACGGAGCCCGCGACAGAAAGATCGGCAGCACTGGCCAGGGTGCGCCTGGTAGCATTCAGGGCCCACTCGATTGCTCGTGGCCCCCCTCCCGTGCCAGCAACGGGAACCACCTGCCGTTCAGGACGAGGACGAGGACGAGCAGCAGCAGCAGCAGCAGCAGGAACTGGGAAGGGGTCTCGCCTAGATGTGGATGTGGTTATGGTCGGTCGTATCCCCTCCCCCATTCCACCTTCCCATCGCCCCCTCCCCACTCCTTCGGCGCCCCTACCTTTCCCACCCCCTCTGTCCTTCCATCTCTCCCGTTACCCCTTGCCCATGTCCTCCCCCTCCACTTCCCTCCGCCTACCCGCTCCCCCTCGCGCTCCCCCCCCCCTCCCCGTCCCCCCCCCCCTCCCCCTCCCCCTCCTCCTCCTCCTCCTCCTCTCCTCCTCCTCCTCCTCCTTCCTCTCCTCCTCCTCCTCCTCCTCCTCCTCCTCCTCCTCTCCTCCTCCTCCTCCTCCTCCTCCTCCTCCTCCTCCTCCTCCTCCTCCTCCTCGGTGAAGTTTAGGGACTGCGAGCCTGGAAGGCCTTCACCACGGTCTGCATCACCTTTTGGCTGTAGAGCCACCTTCGCAGGGTTCAGCGGTGCAGGCGGAGGGGTGGGAGACGGGAAGGATGAGGGAGGAGACCTCTCGGGGGCTTCGTTGGGGCATGTTGGGGGCCTTGGGGTGCCACCTTGGAGGGGGGAGAAGGCTCGAGATGCTAATTTGGTTCCCCCTTTGGGCCCCCCTTGGGGCCCCTTTAGGGAGGCCTCCTGCGCCGTCCTGGCAGCAGCCGCGGGAGAGGCAGAGGGTGGCGGCGCGAAGAAGGGGCCGGCGCGAGGGGGGGCTGCTAAAAAGGAGGGGATGATGGGCCTGTTTTCCACCACCACCACCATAAGTTGGAGGGGGGAAGGAGGTGGAGGACGAGGAGGAGGAGGACGAAGAGGAGGAGGAGGAAGAAGAGGAGGAGAAGGAGGACGCCCTCCCCCTCCGACATCTGATGGTGGTGGTGGTGGAAAACAGGCCCATCAGGGGAGCCTCCTAGAGGAACCCCCCCGGCTTCCGGGAAGGCTTCTTGGAAGCCCCAGGGGCCTTCTGAGAAGACCCTTCCAAGAAGCCCCGCGTCCATTTCAGAAGGTCGCCCCCATCGCGCCGCCGCCCTCTTCTCGCCGCCGAAGAATTCGAAGGCCCGAAGTTAGTGCAGGAAAAATGGGTACGATACCAAACACATGTTGTCCAAAACCGACAGCGGCCGCTGTTGGCCAGGCTGCCAGCTGTCTCAAATGGGTAGTAACGTCCGCGGCGACACCGACAGCGAGCCCTGTTCAAAATGAAGAAAAAACTGCGATCGCTCTGTCATACCTATGTTTTCCGTACACGTCGGTCGAATAGAGTAGATTGAGTTCAGGCCCTCCTGTAGAATAATAAAACACAACAACAACGTATTGACTCCTATAGAGGCCTCCTAGATGGGGTGCGGGCAGGTGGGGTCGGAGGATCGCGCCGCATCGCCGATGCATCGGCGATGCATCGGCGACATCGGCGATCCATCGGCGACGTCGGCGTGGAGAAACACGGGCTCCAAATCGAGCCGCATCGCCGATGCATCGGCGATGCGGCGCGATCCTCCGACCCCATCTACTCCGACCCCTATCTGGGAGGCCCAGGTCCTAAAGTAGGAAGGCACTTGAACCAGATTGGGATCTGGGGATCCCAAAATACCTACTTCTTCAACGACTGGCGCATGCCCATGTCGGTCGTGCCGAGAGAGGCGAGAGCGGCAGCAGAAGAAAAAACAACAAAAGGAGCGCTGGCAGGCCACGGATAGATGGCTGGAGCCCGCACGCGGCCAGCCCCAGACGGCACCGCTTGCGCGGGGGAGGCGAGAGGAGGGGGAGGAGCAGGGAGAGGCGAGAGGATGGAGGAGGAGGAGGAGGAGGAGGAGGAGGAGGAGGGAAGAGGGGCGGAGATGAGGGAGGAGGTGAGGGCAAACTAGGTGCGCTCGCGTCACATCTGACGTCCTACCCCTCCCTCCCATCCCCTACCATGGCATAGATTTCCGATATATTCGCACAATCGGTGTCGAGAAGGGCAATGATCCCAAGAGGGTACGCGATGGATGGAAAAGCCTGGCCTCGAAGAGCGCAGCAGAGCACAGCACGTCATAGCATGGCGTGGCATTACGTAGTCAAGCATTGCATCACAAAACATGGCATCGCACAGCGGAGCACAACGCAGAATCGCATTGCATGCCGTGTCACGGCACTGGATGACTTGGAGCGTAACTAACTGGCCCATCTACGAGAGGACAAGGCCTGCCTAGAATGCTGGCTCCATGTCCTCCGCAACCGTGCCTGCCCGACGTGGGCGCTGTCGAATGCCAAGTGCCGTCCTGAGGCGCGGGAACGAGGCCAGCGCTGCAGCGGGAGCACGATTTTGAATGACCGAAACGGGCCACTCTCAGGACACAGTCAGGGGAGCGAGGAGAGCAGCATTCATATCGTGCAATTGTATGTAATTGTGGGACCGAAAGGGGGTGGCAGGCTCAGGTGCGAGGACATCGAGCTGGAATCGGCGAGACATCGCCGCAGGATTGGCGATGGGCCCCCGACGGCAAAACTGGCCACCATCGGCGATCTCAGTGGGCGAGATGGGGGGGCCGAGGCCTCTGCGGAGGGAGCGCCCAGGGCCGGCGTGCAGCAAAAACGGAGGCCGGAGCCGCCCGAGGCCGCAGCGGACGGCAGGATTGACTACCCACCAAACCACCCCAGCCCAACCCAGAAGACCCGAATTTGACCCGACTTTCGGGGAATACGGGTTCCATATGTAGGCGGGGATTTATCCATATCCACCGCCTGAGAGCTGACGTCCTGGTGCCCCAGCGGGCGGTGGATATGGATATGTGTTGGCCCCCAGAGGCTCTAAATATATCCATGCCCACCGCCTGTCGAGGTCCCTCGAAGATCGATCCTCCAGGCGGAGGTCACGTAGAAATTTCCCCTCGGAAAAAGAGCTCCCGGGCAGTGCATGCGCGTTTTTTCCCCCGCCTGGCTCCAGGATGTGTTGCAGGACTGCTGCACGAACCTCGAGTCTTTCAGATTCGAAGCTAGGAGGCTGGAGCCAGTCAAGCCCAAGGCCAAGCCGAAGCAGAATCCGTCCCACCCGGTCCGCCTGCGGACTCCAGAGCAGAGCTCGAACTGCAGGCTGCGTGGAGTACCAGAGACGACACGGCTCTTACAGGATTATGCGCCTGTCTGCCCCCGCCGTCGTCATCACGATCACGGTCATCGCGACCTCTGGCGAATCTATCTGCCGCGAAAAGTCACGATCGCCCCCGCTCCTGACGCATGCCGCAATTCCGTGCAAGCAGATAACCACACCACGACGACGTGCCCTTCCAGAAGCGAGAGCAACGACGTCGACGACGACGACGACGACGACGACGACGACGACGTCCCGTAACCCTCGAGAGAGAGCCCAACAGAAAGGGCACGGGCAAAGCTGCAGCCAACAAGTCTCCTCCGACTTCGCTCCCGAGAGCTCTCTCCTGGGCGCCAAATCCTGGGACTCTCCAGCGTCCTGGAGCCGCTCGCAGGGAGCCGGAGGACCAGGGTGGCTCGACGAAGGACTTGTGCGGCAGATGCTGTGCCTCCCAGCGGCAGAGTGCTCCCCTGCTGCCGCGCAGGCCGCCTGAAGTAGGTCACCGAGAAGACGGGGTGGGCGCCGGGCCTTAGCTGCCAGAGGCCGTGCCCCTCCCTCAGCTGCTCCTCGTCCCCGACGGTCGTCGTCCTCGTCCCCATCGTCGTCGTCGCCGTACACAGACAAGCCCGTCCCAATCTGGTCCACAATGCCCCCGCTGATTCCGTTTCCCCCTGCATCCTTCACCCTCCAGCATTCATCCTCTCATACATTATTATTATTATTATTATCCTCCTCCTCCTCCTCCTCCTCCTCCTCCTCCTCCTCCTCCTCCTCCTCCTCCTCCTCCTATTCCATCCTTCATCCTCCTCATCCTCCTCCTCCTCCTCCTCCTCCTCCTCATCCTCCTCCATCTCCCTTTCCGTCGGATTCTGAGGACGAGACCGCAGCTTCCCTATGAGAACGTGCTTCAGTATGAGTCCTGTCGAAGGGCTGCAGAAGACTGCTCCTGCCCAGCGCAAGAAGCAATGCGCTGCCCGAGCCGCGCACCGTGCCTGCCTCCGCGGCCCTGCCAATCACACGAGGAGAACACGAAGTGGCTCGCGTTCCCTCGCAGACATGCACAAATTATCCTGGCGAAGGACCCAACCATACGCAATCGTGAAAACCGCAGGGCAGGTGGGACGAAGCAAGGGGAATTCCCAATGGGGCCACGAACCATGTGGTGGGTATACCAAAATGGCGCGGGGCCGCCATGCGAACCCTGCCACTGGCGCCTCCGGTAGAGCTCCCCATGGGGCCACGAACCGTGTGAGGGGTGCGCCAAAATGGCGCGGGGCCGCCATGCGAACCCTGCCACTGGGGCCTTCGGTGGAGCTCCCTATGGGGCCACGAACCGTGTGAGGGGTGCGCCAAAACGCGGGACCGCCATGCGAACCCTGCCACTGGAGCATTCGGTGGAGCCCCCTTATGGGGCCACGATCCCCTCGAGGGGTGTGCCGAAATGGCCCGGGGCCGCCACGCGAACCCTGCCACTGGGGACTTCGGTGGAGTTCCCTATGGGGCCACGACACGTTCTACTAGGTGGGTGAAACGAAAGGAGGAGGGAGGGGGAGGAGGAGAAGAGAAACGCGGGGCACCGTCTCTTCAAAACGAGAATCCAACATCACAGGATGGCTGGGGAAAACGAAGATGCGGAGTCGTGTAGGCGAGTAGCGGAATGTACGTCGGCACGGCGCCACCAGGACGGGGGGGATAAATGAACCCGGCGCGACCCCGATTAGGGGTCTGTTTTCTCCCAAAGCAATTCGAAGCAGTTCTGAACAACGCAAAGCAACGTGATTCGAAACATGCGTTGTAGGTGCTCGACAGTGCCTGGAATCGCTGCTTGACATTGCTTCACTGACACTGGTTGGTATTGTCTAGTGCTGGTTGGTGTTGTGTGTGGTTGCGTGTGGTAGCTTTGGACTTGTTTGGCTGAGCGTGACATGGCTTGACAGTGTTTGTCGTTTAGCATTGCGTGGCATTGCTTTGCGTCTCTGTGATCGGCATTGATTGGCATCGCTGGCCATTGCTCGGCAACGCTTGGCATTGCTTGGTATTGCAACCACTTGAGAAGCCAACGAAAAAGACCAGGGAACATGAGAAAGAAAAAGAAAATGCAAGACCAAAGAACCGAGGAAAGACCGGGGAACCAAATTAGCCTGGCGAAGGACCCAACCATACGCAGTTGTGAATACCGCAACTGTGAATACCATCTTCGCCCGCCCTCCCTATGTGGCCACGGCTTCCCGCCGGAGCCCGACATGCTCAGGGACACGCTCGTGGTCGTCTTCGCGGGCGCCGCCGACGACGAGGACGGCGTCCCCGTGACCGAGGAGCAGAAGCAGGAAAGGCTCTGAGAGCCATGCGAACCCTGCCACTGGGGCCTTCGGTGGAGCTCCCTATGGGGCCACGATCCTCGTGAGGGGCGTGCCGAAATGGCCCGAGGCCGCCATGCGAGCCCTGCTACTGGCGCCTTCAGCGGAGCTCCTATGGGGCCACGATCCTCGTGAGGGGTGTGCCGAAATGGCCCGAGGCCGCCATGCGAACCCTGCCACCGGGGCCTTCGGTGGAGCTCCTCGTGGGGCCACGATCCTCGTGAGGGGTGTGCCGAAATGGCCCGAGGCCGCCATGCGAACCCTGCCACTGGGGCCTTCGGTGGAGCTCCCTATGGGGCCACGATCCTCTTGAGGGGTGTGCCGAAATGGCCCGAGGCCGCCATGCTGAAATGGCCCGCGGCTACATGCGAACCCTGCCACTGGCGCCTTCGGTGGAGCTCCCTATGGGACCACGAAACGTTGTACTGGGTGGGTGAAACGAAGGGAGTGAAGAGGGAGGAGGGGGAGGAGGGCGGGAAGGAGGAAAGAACGCGGGGCGCCGTCTCTTCAAAACGAGGACCCAACACCACAGGATGGTTGGGAAAAAAATGCACTGGAATCCAAGCAACGCCGAAAGCAAACCAAGACCAAAACACCGTGCAACGCCAGGCTCACCATTGGGGAACTCAAACACTCAAACGACCGGGCGTAACAAAAGCTGGCTTAGGCCAGCCAATCCGACCCCAGCGCGTCGCATAAGAAGTGCTGCTGGGCAATCAGACCCCAGCGTGAACATTGTCAGTTTAGGAGTCCATCCGACTCCTACTTTGAAAACCGGGCCTTCTGCCGCTACTGCGATGTATGGGTCAGCTGGGACGACGAGTGGCACCAGCAGCAGGATCGCCAGGTACACACTAGTGTGGGAAAGGCAAAAGTGGCAAGCGCACCAGCGACGCCTGGTGGCCCTCCGGGAATCAATTCCGCCTGCGCAAGAGTTAGCCCCAGCGGGTGAGTACCTTGCTGGTGCAAGCACCCTTGACAGACGCGCCCTGTGGGCTCCGGGCGCGCAGAGCCAGCCGACTCCCGCGCCCCATGCTGATGCCCGGCCACGCTTAAGTCGCACAATGCTGGGTTCAGCTCCGACTGCGTCCAACACCCCTCGACTGGCACCTCCCTAGGTGCCTGCCCCCCAAGGTGGGCACCTTTAAAGGTCGCACGACTTGCACCACAACGGTGCCACGCAAGGCGTCTGCCCACAGGTGGACGTCCCTGCCTCTCGACTGGTCCGCGTACCGAGCAGGTGCTCCTAGCGCGCGTGCTACCCCCGAAGGTGGCAAGCCTTCATCACGTTGCCTTCTCTCGCCATGACCTGGGCGGCCGCCCCCAAAGGTAGGCGCCCTCTGTTCCTGTTGTTCCGCATGTCGCATGCCCGTGCACTGATCAGGTGTTCCCGACCCACGCGCTGGTCCCCAAGGTGGCACGCCCTCCTCCTCCCTGCCCGTTTCTGACCTGGCTGGAGCATCCACCCCTCAAAGGTGGAAGGGCCTCGTTCTTGCCCTGGCTGGAGCGTCTACCCCCCAAGCTAGACGCCTCCCCTCACAACTTCGCGCGCCGATCAGGTGACATATATCAGAGAGAGGGGGCTGAACCGAACGGTCTTGCACTGTCCCTGGGTGCGTGGCTGAAGTGGAATTCCGCGATGCGGATTCTTGTAATTGTTGTTTGTTGTTTGATGTTTGTTATCGTCGTCCCACCTGCGACCCACCCGCGACCCACCCCGCGACCCACCCGCGACCCACCCGCGACCGACCCCGCGACCCACCCGCGACCGACCCCGCGACCCACCCGCGACCCACCCGCGACCCACCCGCGACCCACCCCGCGACCCACCCCGCGACCCGCCCGCGACCCACCCCGCGACCCCCCCCGCGACCCACCCGCGACGCACCGGCGACCCACCCGCGACCCACCCGCGACCCACCCCGCGACCCACCCGCGACCCACCCGCGACCCACCCGCGACCCACCGCGACCCACCCGCGAACCACCCGCGACCCACCCCGCGACCCACCCAAAATTTTCGGCGCCTGCGGCGGGTTTCTTTTGCATTCGTTCCAGGTGGAGAACCAGCGACCCAGCCGCGACCCAAACAGCGCCCGCGACCCACCCGCGACCCCCGCGACCCACCCGCAACCCACCCGCGACCGCCCCCGCGACCCACCCAAAATTTTCAGCGCCTGCGGCGGGCTTCTTTTGCATCCGTTCTAGGTGGAGAACCTGCGACCCACCCGCAACCCGAACCGCGTTCAGTGTACAAATCAAAAGTTTCGGCGCTTGCGGCGGGCTGTTTTTGAATTCCTTCCAGGTGGAGGTGGAGAGCCCGCGACCCACCCGCGACCCAAACTACGTTCACTGAGCAAGCCAACAAAAAATCGGCGCCTGCGGTGGGCTGTTGTTGCATTCGTTCCGGGTGGCCCACCAGCGAACCCCCGGACGAGTCAGAGGAGGAGGAGGAGCAGGAGCAGGAGGAGGAGGAGGGCGCCATCGACAGGGAAGGTGAGGGCCACGAGGTCCGCCAGGTCGACGCCCGCGTCGCCCGCGCCCGCCCCCTCACTCCTATCCGCAGTTGCGGGGTGCTACGGTGTTTATATATCTATGTATATATATATATACATATATGTGCATTCATGCACATACATACATACATACATACATACATACATACATACATACATACATACATACATACATACATACATACATACATACACAGTCATACATACATACATACATACATACATACATACATACATACATACATACATACATACATACATACATGCATGCATGCATGCATGCATGCATGCATGCATGCATGCATGCATGCATGCATACGTACACGCATACACACATCCCTATAACATGCATACCTACATACATACATACAGACAGACAGACAGATAGACTGACAGACAGACAGACATACATAATTACATACACGCATGCATGCATGCATGCATACATACATACATACATGCATACATGCACGCATATATACCTACCTACATACCTACCTACATATCTACAAACCTACATACATACATATATACATACATACATACATACATACATGCATGCATGCATGCATACATACATACATACATACATACATACATGCATGCATGCATACAAACATACATACAGACAGACAGACAGAACAACAGACAAACACACATACCGACGTGCACGCATGCATACACACCTAAATACGTGTAAACATCGAGAAAGAGTGTGAGAGAGACAGAGATGAAGAAAGAGAGAGAGAGAGAGAGAGAGCGCTGCCCAGAGAAAGGTATTCATCCTGCTGCTCTCGCTGCAACTGCCGAAGGCGTCGTGCTGCTGGCGCGCTGCCGGGATCAGTCGCGCCGTCCACGGGCGCGCCACCCTGCGCACACCCCCATCCAAAGTCTGCGCGCCCGGCGGACCCCCACCTGGCCCGCCGCGGACCGCCCGCCCTGCTGCCACTGCAGCTGGGCACGCCCCCGCCTGGCTGATGTGAGGAATAGGAGGAGGAGGAGGAGGATGAGGAGGAAGAGGAGGAGGAGGAGGAGGAGGAGGAGGAGGAAGAGAAGGAGGAGGAGGAGGAGAAA